TGAATGACTTGCACAGGGTGTCTCCTTCTCCAAGCCTCAGTGGCCTTCTCTGCTAAGGGGGCAAGATACAACTTGTCCTTTCAGCCTCTCAGAACTGAGGCGAGGAGCTTGGAAATATACAGTGGGCCCCAGGAACGTGGCATCATATGTGGCAGGGAAGGCAGGGTCCTTTCATGCAAAGGCCCAGCAGGGTCCAGGGGAGGCACGTTCCTGAGAAGACTGCAGGATCATTTATAGAATAATGATGCTGGCTGACATTTTTAGATTTTTCATTGCATGTTAGGCACTGTTTTATACACTTTTTTTGAATTTTCTTATTCGCAAAGGGTACTTCAAAAAGTTCATGGAAAAATAGAATGAAAAGATAATATGAACCTTTCCATGAACTTTTGAAGACCCCTTCATTTTCCTCACAACAACCCCATTTTACAAGTGAGAAAACTAAGGCTTAAGTAACTTGCTGAAAGCCACACAGTATGCTAGTGCTGTAAGAGGGGGGACACTGGGAAAAAAGACTCCATCCCTGCCCCTATTTTCCAACTCCTCTGAAGCCCTGCCCAGCCTTCAGCATGAATTTTGAGCATATTCATGAAACATCCCTACCACTTCAATGTTTGCTTTGAGCATCTCTACCCCTGTGATATAGGGGGGCCACAGTGGGCAGTCTCCTGTCCCCATCTCTTGCTCCTATGTAATCCTCTCAGGAGCTGTCATTTATTGAGAAAGTACATACTATTTGGCCAGATGGTTTACGTATATTACATCGACCCCTCCCTTGCCCCTGGGAGAAGTCATCTTTGTTCTCATTTTACAAATGAAGTGGCTGAGGCTCAGAGAAGTAACTTGCACGATATCACCCAGCTAGTGGGTAGCAGAGCCGGGACTTAGTCCCAGATTGTCTGATTCCACAGCCCGGCTCTTTCCATCTCTGTGAAGCAGGCCTCTCCTCTCCCCACTGTTCCTTATCACATCTCTCTGTTTTAGAGTCGTCTTAGCTCTTTCCACACCTTGAAACCATCCTGTTCATTTCTGTTTCCTTGTTTGTGATCCATCTCCCCACAGCGCTCTTTGAGAGCTGGTCCTTGTTTGCTTGTCATGACAGTATCTCCAGCACCCAGCACAGCGCCGGCCCAGAAGCATTTGTTGTTTGACAGGCTGAATGAAGGGATTATGTCATGGTGCATCTTGACACAGGCCCTGGCCTGGCTGCCTTTCGAATCAGAAGAGGCTGCTGCTGGCAGCGCCTTCTTGGGGTGTGTGGTGCTGGAAGCCGAGGTTAAGTGGGGCAGGGCCCCTTTGGGGTCAGGGTCAGAAACACAGGTCCAGCCATTCCAGGGGTGAGCAGAGTCAAGAAGAGGCTGACTCATGTTACAGAAACTCAGTGGGGGCTGATGGGCAAAATGGAATGCCAAGGCCAATGGGGTCTAAGTACTTTGTTACTAGTAAGCACTGGTTCCAGAAGTAAAATCTACACCTGGAACCAAGTCAGCCATGGAAAGTGGTTCATCAAGTAGGAGTCAGAATAAACGGAGTTGGATCGTTAAGCTGATGGGCAAAATGGAATGCCAAGGCCAATGGGGTCTAAGTACTTTGTTACTAGTAAGCAGAAGTAAAATCTACACCTGGAACCAAGTCAGCCATGGAAAGTGGTTCATCAAGTAGGAGTCAGAATAAACGGAGTTGGATCGTTAATGGATTATCCTGGGTAATCTCAAGTTTATGTCATCAAAGGGAGATGGCTGCTCTTTTTTGTTTTTAACTGAGGTGTAACTTAGGTCCGGCGAACTCTTAAGTAAATACTTTCATGTATTTTTACATGTGTATCTATCCACCCATGTAACCACCAATCAGATCAAGACATCTGACATTTCCGCCCCACCAGATGGGACGCCACCTTATCCCCAGAAATTTCTCTTGTGCCCTTCCCAGTAAATAATCCCCTACCTCACCCACAGGCAATCACTGTTAGGCATCTGTTACCATAAGATTAGTTTTTCCAGTTTTGAACTTTGAATAAACGAAACCATACTCTATGTACTCTTTTGTGTCTGGGTTCTTTCACTCCAGTTGTGCCTGTGAGATCCAACAGCGTCATGTCTATTGTAGCTCATTTTTTTCACTTATGTGTAATATTCCATTGTATGAAGATACCAGAGTTAATTTTCTCATACTACTCTAGATGGACATATGGGTTGTTTCTTGTTTTTAGCTATTATGCATAAAGCTGCTGTGAGTATTCTTGTATTCTCGTCTGGTTGTCATAAGTGCTCATTTCTATTGGGTACATAACCAGGAGTGCAATTGCTGCGTCATGGAGTATACGCTTGTTTAGCTTTAGTAGGTCCTGCCAAAATTTCTTCCAAAGTGGTTCTACCATTTGAGTTGGGTAGTCTTAATAGTTAATGTCATCAGAGGGATAATCTTAGTGATGTGTCATCATACCCACTCACAGTCCATCTCCGGTGGGGAAACACAACTGTCAGGTCACCAGAGGCCCTGTGTCTGCTGGCCAGGCCCCATCTTTCCTGACCTGTGCTGGCTATGCCCTGAGAAAGTCCAGCTCTTCAGCTCTCTTTCAGTATTCCTTATCAGTCACCAAAGCTTCTGTCATTACAACACTGCCTTGCTACAGGCAAGCCACAGTGTCCAAGATTACAGCTTATCTTCCATTGGAGCCTGTTAAATCGATGTCTTCCTTATTGAGAGGCACCCGAGGCCTCTTGCAGACATCTGTGCAGCATCCTGGTCTTATCATCAACTGGCATGCACATCATCTCTTGGTGGGTTTTTTGTTGACAAGATTTTCTGGGGACCTTGGCCACAGATGGCTCTCTTCTATGTATGGTGATGTTTACGCATTTTCATTGCAGGGGGTGACAGTTTCGATCCCAGTCCCCAGATTCTAGGGTGCATAGGGACTATGTGATGATTATAAAATTCATAGAGGTACAAGTTTGAAAAAGACCTCACAGGTCATCTAATCCACTTCCCTGTTATGGGTGGGGAAACTGAGATCCAGAGAGATGAATTGACTTGCCCAAGTTCATGCAGCTTGTTTCCTGACAACCAGTCCAGGTTTACTGCTTCATTGCAGCCAGGCAGGCAGCATGGTGACGCAGGCAGGATGGTGATGCAGACACTGACTCTGGTAGGGACTCTGCCCACTGTTTGCAGAACCTCTGCTGTTTACAGAGACCCTCATGGTTAAACATGGTCTGTGTCCCTCCCCATTGCTGCCCCACAAGTTTCTTGACCTGCTGCTGGGCTGCCTCTGTGGACTCTACCTCTGTGATTAGCTCATGTCTGTCCCATCAGTGTTGATGGAAAGTCCTACTAGTGGCATCTTTAGAACACATTACAATTCTACTAAGCACTTTTCATTTATCCTGTGTTATCACATCCACTGTTGTGAGTTCTTGGAGTTGGTAGCATTCTCTCCATTTCAGAGTTGAGAAAACTGTGGACCAAAGATCACTAGTGGGTACCCTGGGTAATGTATGTGAGACCTGGTGCTGTTGACCAGCACAGAGCCTCCCTATTCTTCAGCATTGGTTCAAAAGCTGCCTTTTCCATGCAGCCTTCTGCGGTTCTTCCTCCACGGGTGGCGATGTCTTTCTCCATTGACCTCCTAGGGCCTTCTACATCTCTCTCATGGTGCTTAGCACCTTCACCAGGGTATATCCTTGTAAATTCATTCATTCAACATTCACTGAGCACCTGCTCTGTTTGAGGCCTTGTGCTGGGGATACCAAGAGGAAACTCACGGTCTGGTAGGCAGAAAGACAAGAGCCCTGAATTTGACAGACACACAGGTCTGGCGCTTTGTCGTGGCCCTGGGGGAGTGATGCACACTGACTGCATACAGAAAGAGGGAGGGTGCCTGTCAGTCACGGGATGCTTCCTGGAAGAACTAACATTTTATGTACAGGTTTTATCTTACCTCTGTGGGCAGGGACTCTGTTGCAGCCCCTTGCATCCCTCATGCCTGTATCAGCTCTCCCACCTCCACTCGCTCGACTCTCAGCTCTGAGCAGACAGGTGCGAAGCCAGGGACCTTTCTCTGCTTCCCAGAGCCCAAGCATTGGTGGGCTAGAGGCTGGTTTGCTTTCAGGACAATGGAGCTAGACACTGTGACCTTGGCAAGTTCACTCATTTTCCAGCTGGGCCCCTCCAGCCGTGTCCTGGCTTTGGTCCCCAGCCTTCGGCACTGCGAGAGAGGTCAGGGAGAAGCCACAGTCTTCTGAGAGTTCCCAGACCCCCTGTGAGAACTTCTGTCCCTTGGAGAAGAAGCTGGTCCCAGGCTCAGGGAGCAATGAGAAAAAATGGGCAGTTACAGTTTAGGCAAGCAATTTGCTGAGAAAACGTTCTCAGCAGAAACTGAGGGAATGAGGGAAGCAGCCAAGCAAAGATGTGGTTCAGGAAGTCTGGCTTGAGCCTGTCCTCAGGGGGAGCCCTGGAGCATGGGCAGCACCACCTCCGCCCCACCTTGAGAGTGTATGTCGGGGAGGGGAGTAACCTCTTACTCCTGCCTGCCTTTTCATTTGAAAACACCTGGGCATTTCTGGCCAAGGCAGCTCTGCTGGCTAGGGCCAATTCCCTGGGGAGAGTGAGCACTGTGAGCTGCTAGCAGCTTGGGGTGGGTGCAGCTGCCCTACTGGGGAGCTGGGAGAGCACCAGCAGCATTCACCACCAGGGGCTGCTAAGACAGTGAAGTTTATTGAGTGATTACCAGTCTGTACAAATTGCAGTGCCCCCTCACATACATCAGCTCATTGAAGAGAAGTCTCCTGCAAGGGGCAGGAGAACTGTCATTTTCCCAAGTTCCTCCTAGCCCTTCTGGTTCTTGCTTGGGGGTCCTGTGGAATTCTTTCCTGGGCTCAGTGCCTTCAGGCCTCTAGGGAGGTCTAGGCTGACCCACCCCTGACACCCTTCTAAGGGAGCCTCAAAGCCCTCTGGCCTTGATGCCTCTTGTCTCAACCTCTTCAATCCTCTCTCGCCAGCTCCAGCCCAGGCCCAGATCGTGCATGCAGGCCAGGCATGTGTGGTGAAAGAGGACAACATCAGTGAGCGTGTCTACACCATCCGGGAGGGGGACACCCTTGTACTGCAGTGCCTTGTCACCGGGCACCCTCGACCCCAGGTAAGCCCCCAGCCCAGCCTTTCTCAGGCCCCTCCTGCCCTCACCCCTGACCTAGGATCAGAGCATGAGAGGGAGCAGTAGGAGCCGGGGACCAGAGACAAATAGTGGTGAGTAAACAGAAGACAGGAGACTGGGGCTGGGTAAATAGCAGGAAAATTAACTCTGTGGGGAAGGGCTGGAGGCTGTGGGCTTATTCACCTGGAAACACTGATGGCTGAGGGGAAAAACTGAATGTCAGTTCTTCATTTCCACTCCATTCCATGTATCTGTTGAGCAAACACATTCTTAGATGTACCTTTGGCAGATGTTTGGGGACACACATGTGCCAAGCAGCATGCTAGGTGCTTTCTCCAGTGTTTGCTCTTTGAATCCTCATAGGATTGCTGTGAAGAAGGTATTAGTGCCCCCATTTTGTGGCTGAGGAAATGGAGGTTCAGGGAGGTTGGGTAAACTCCCAAGGTCGCACGTCTCTTGTGAGAGTGGAAGCAGAATTTGAACCCAGAACCAGTGTTCTCTGTAGGTTAGTATGTCTTTGGATTGAAGGCTCCAGGAGTTACAAGCAACATAGAAAACAATCTCTACTTCAGGATGCTTCCAGTAAGCAAGCTCCACACTCTTGAGGTTCCACGACCCAAAGCAATGAGAAAGGCACAGAAAACAAGTATTCGGAAATGCCAGATGAATTTTGTCACAGACCAAGCATGTGGTTCAGGCAGGAAGCGATGGCCAGTTATCACTGAGAGCTGATGAGAGGAGGCAGGGAGGGGATGGGCTGGAAAGATGGGTGGAATTTTCTAGTGAGCTGCTGTGACCTTTAATAGCAGCAGAAAAGGTAGGAATTGAGTCCTAGGAAGGACAGTAAAATACAAAATCCTTTTTTCTGGATAATTTTGGGAACAGGGATGGCTTTAGTAGATTTGGCATTGATACCAGAAGATGGACAAGGAAACCCCTAAAGACTCTTTCACCCTGAAATTATTATCACTGCTTGCTCCCTCTCAAGGGTTTGTTTGGAAGTGAACACAGTACCTCCAGATTTAAGTCAGTGTTTCTATCAGGTGTGACTATTAAAGTGGGGGTGGTTCTCCCTACAAGCCAGTGAGGCAGCTGGGCCACCTCTCCCTAAGGCTGCACTGGCCATCCGTGTGTGTCCCCTTGTACGTCCCATGTATGAGTTACTCGTGGCTGTGGCTATGTGGACGTGCACCTGCTTTGCTATTTCCATCACTGGTATCGTTGTTTGTCCTACCACCCAGGCTCAGACCCTTGGACTCACATTTAACTCTGCCCCATCTCATTCCCCACATCTATCCAGACTCTGAGCCACCTCCCCCATTTTCTTTATGCCTCTTGCATGGGTCTTCTCTTCTCTATTCCACGTTACTCGTCTAGGTCAGATCTTCGGTCCTGTCCCTTGGTAGACTCTAAACTGACCTCCCAGTCTCCCACCTCTCCCCCTCCGATCCACTCCTGCACTCTGCTACCAGAACAATCACACACAAACCTACGACATCATATCACTCCCCTGCTCAGAAACCGTCAGTGCCTCCCCATTACTCTCCAGCTCCTAGGGATGGAACTGCAGACCTTCCACAGTCCAGCCCCCACCTGCCTCTCTTGTCTGATCTCCACCCAACACCCTGTGCTCCAGTCAGACTTGCCTCCCCATCATTACCCAAGTACACCCTGTTCATTTCTGCTTTAGCCACTCTGCTTACCTCTCCTGAAATGCCCTCTCACTTCTTTTTTGCTCATTTCATCACAACAAATATTTATTGAGCACCTTCTATGTGCCAAGCAGTGATGGGTCCTGAGGATGCAGCTATAGAGTTCCTGCTCTCATGGAGCATCCAGTCTAACAAAGGAGCAAGGGAAGTATCATCTCACGGCCCACTGTGTGGTCAAGATGGGGCTGAGTGGACATGGAATTCCTTACTCCAAACAAGAAGCAAAAGAGGGGGATATCTGGGGGCCAGAAATGCAGAATTTATAATGATGACAGTGAGCAGAAGTTGAAGAACCTGGTCCATGGAGATACTGGGACTCCATACACACCTTAGGGATAGTCATATTAATACACATATGGGGATATGAGTTGAGGCTACAGGTCCATCCATGGCTGGAAGCTGGAACTAGAGTCTACCTAAAGCTGGAAGCTCAACAAGAGTGGTACCACCTATGAATGGGGACCAGAAGATCTCTGTCCCATAGCCCAGAGTCACAGCAGGGAACACTCTCTGCTTCAGGGTGTGGGTACAAAGTCACCTATGAGAGAGCATAACCCTAAGCCAGTCTGTGTCCTGCACTATCCAAATGGTGAGGAAACCCTAAACTGAGAAACTTATAAAAACCAGATGGGACCTACAAACCCATTATCTTGAGCACAGACAACCATAAAACTACACCGCAGACAGGCCTGCAAAGGCCCAAGTAGGACTTCTACAGAAGATAATCCCACTGAATACAAGCCTGTGGAGTAAAATTTTAAAACACATTTTAAAATACAGTGCCAGGAGAACCAGTCCATAGACCCAACAAGTTGAACAACTCACATCTGAGGAACTAGAGAAAACAGAGCAATCTGAAAGAATCTTCACAGTACATATGTTTAAAGTATTAGAAAAAGATAAGGAATGGAATCTATAAGACAGGAGATTATAAAACCTGATCACTCAGATGTGGCAAAAAGCAAATAGAAAACCTAGAAATAAAAATGATAGTCTTAAAAAAAAATGGCCTCAATTCCCTAGAGATAGCTAAAGAGAAAATTAGTGTATTAGATGTGAGAGCTGAGGAAATCAGCCATAATGGAGTCTGGAGAAGACAAAGAGATAGAAAATGTGAAAAAGAAGTTGAGAGACATGAAGAATAGAATGAGAAGCTATAACATAAATTCAGGCATTTCAGAAGAAGAGACTAGAGAAAACAAGAGAGGAGAAAATACTTAAAGAGATAAAGGTTGAGTATTTTGTAGAATTGAAGGTAGATAACAACTCTCAGATGGATAAAGGAAACCAATCTTGAGCAGTATGTAAACAAACTCCATCTAGAAAAATTACAGTAAAACCATAAGACATCAAGTACAAAAATAGAAAAATATTTCTATGCCCCCATTTTTTCTCTTAAGCAGCAAGTGTGAATTGCTTGTAACTGCCTCTAACCTTCCCCGAGGTTTGTAACCTCTAGGTCCATGGGGGTAAAGTCAAGGGTGGGGAGGGGATAAGAGTAGCAACACAGTGGCCTGCAGTGGCGCCTCCCTGCATGAGAAAGGTTGCCTTTCACCCACTTCTCCTCTGCCTTGTTTTTATGAACTTTGGCCTGACCTATTCCCCAGGATCAGGGTCCTTGCCCTGTCTCGGTGATAAGCAGTCCTCCTCAGCTTCAAGACTGAAGCTTTTCTACCCCACTCCCCAATCCTTAAACATAATTATCTGGAATTGATCAGTTTTTCTTAAATGTCTGGCACCTTGAGTGGTAACTCAGGTTTCTTAGGTGATCCTTGATATTTTCCCATAATCTAAGGCAATAATAATAGAAAGTTGTTGAGTGACTAATGTATACCAGGCACCACACCTAAGTGCTTTAATCCTTTATCTCTAAACCTCATAAGAAACTCACAAAGTGGGTATTATGCTATATTTGTTATTTATTATTTCATAACAAATACTCCGAAATTTAGGGGCTCACTGTCTCACAGTTCCCGTAGGACAGGAATCTGGGAACAGCATAGCTGGCTGGTTCTGAGTCAGGGTCTCTCAAATGCTGTAATCCAGGTGTCAGCAAGGGCTGCAGCTGTTTGAGGATGATGGGCTGGAGGATCCACTTCCAAGCTAACTCTTGTGGCCATTGGTCTGAGGCCTCAGTTCCTCCCCAAGTGGGCTTTTCCATGGGGCTGCCCATGACATGATAGCTGCCCGGCCCCATTCTCTAGCGTGTGACCCGAGGGAAGGACCAAGATGGAAAAAAAAGTCTTTTACAGTCTCATCAAGGAAGTGACACACTATCACCCCTGCCGTATTCATCCCACCGAGTACAAGGTGGGAGGGAGGGAGGGGACGCGACACTACGGAAAGGGGCAAAGACCGGGAGGCCGTCTTGGCGGCTGGCTACCTCCAAGCTCACACATGAGTAACCTACCCGAGGCCACTGAGCTAGGAAATGGAATAACAGAGAAATTTTATGAAATTCCTAGTCTTCCGGGCACTAAGTTCATATTCATTTAATCCTCCAAGTAACCCTAGAAAGGGGGTAATAATCGCCATTTTACAGATGAGGAAAGGCCGACAGGAGAGGCTGGGTCATTTGCCCCCAAACCCGCGTTCTCAACCCCAGCCCTACACACCTGATTTAAAGCCTCCTGCCTCTGACCCCTGTGGCGTCCTAACCCGTCTGCGCGTCCCCACGAGCCCGGGATGGCTCCCCAGGCCCGTGTGTGCCCCGCGCCGCTGGTCCGACGGCAGGACGGCCCGCCCGGAGCCCCCGCCCGGTGCCGGCGCTCACTGCCCCGCCTGGCCGCCCAGGTGCGCTGGACCAAGACCGCGGGCAGCGCGTCCGACAAGTTCCAGGAGACGTCGGTGTTCAACGAGACGCTGCGCATCGAGCGCATCGCGCGCACGCAGGGCGGCCGCTACTACTGCAAGGCGGAGAACGGCGTGGGCGTGCCGGCCATCAAGTCCATCCGCGTGGACGTGCAGTGTGAGTCGAAGCCCTCTGCTCCCCGGACGCTCAGGTGGGGAAGCTGGGGGGTGGAGGGAGGATGGAGAAGCGACACCTCGATGACCCAGGACAGTAGAGCCTTTCTCTCTTTGGGACTAGGCAGGTGTCCTTGCTGTCCCTGCGGTGTGCGCCGGTGTGTACATTCCCATCTGTAATCCCATGTGAACCTTGCAACATCCCTGTAAGGTGGGCAGGGAGGGCAGGAGGATTGGATTATTCCCCTTCCACAGATGAGTAAACTGAGGTATTAAGGACATGTGACTTGCTCACCAGCCTAGAGCAGGTAGCCCCTGATGTGAGCTGAGGCACAGGTCTCTTCTCACAGTACTTCATGGTGCTGCTTTTGCCCCAGGGCAGCTCTAAGACTTCCCTCCTCCACCACCTGTGGGTCAGGCACCCCCCAGTCCTTGCTACTGGTTGGATGGGAAGCCCCCAGTCCCTACCTGCTCTCCAAGGATATCCCTGTAACCCCTGGAGCCTGTCTCCCTGCTTGCCACCCTCTTCTGTGTCCATCCAGGCTGACCCAGGTACCCAGAAACTGTAGGACCAGGCCCAAGGGTATGTCTGGTACCATCTTAAGGCCTTCAATGAACCTACCTGTTAACTACATACCCTCCTACCTCCCGAGTGGAATCCGACAGAGTGGTGAATAGTGGAACCCCAGACCTCTCTTCTGTCTCTCATCAGCCAGGCTGGGTCCTGCTGACCCCTGGGGCTGAGGGTCATTCCTCAGGTTATTTGTGCTGGAAGGGGCTGGCAGGCATAGCCTGGGCCTCACCAAAGCTCACCCTCACCCATGGCCTTGGTTATGACTTCTATCCAAGTGCACTGTGGAAGGGCAGAATGAATGATGGGATGCTGGAACATCCATTGTGGGACGTTGGAATGTGGACTGTTGGTGCCTGTGCTTCATAACCCTTGCTGTACGTTAGAATCTCTAGGGGATCTTTTAAAAAATACTGATGCCTAGGCCCCACTTCCAGAGATTCTGATGTAATTGATCAGGGATGGAATACGATATAAGAATTTTTTCTTGAACTTTTGTTTTTAATTGAGGATTAACCTATATCCCATAGAGTGCTCTAATCTTAAGTTTACAGTTTCATGATTTCTTACATATGTATGTGTGTGCATGAACACAATCCAGTTCAAAATATAGACCATTTCCAAGACCCTAGAAAGTTCCTTCATGCCCTCTCCCAGTCAATAATCCCCCCAGAGGCAATGAATATTCTGACTTTGGACAGCGTCAGTGAGTTCTGCCAGGTATTAAAAAAATATATATCCATGTATTTCTATTGTGCAAACAGGGCTGAGAACTACCAATCTAGTCTAATTTACCAGTGAGGGAACTGAGGCCCAAAGAGAGGAGGGACTTAGGCAGGTCACACTACAAATTAACAGCTAAACTGGGATTTGAACCAGGGTTCCCTTATTTCCAGTCTGCAGCTGCTTCCTCCATCTCATGATGAGAGGGTGTAAATCTAGATGCCCCAGTGCAGGTCCCTGGGGAAGGACAGGCAGGAGGGAGTCTGAAAAGCCATCAAGTCCAGTCCCCTGCCTCTAACGAACTGGTCAAGCTTGCAGGGCTGGGAGAGCATCTGAATCTCTGGAAGTGTCCCTTGATGGTGGCTCAGCTTTCCTTGAGGTCTGCAGGAGCCTGAGCCCCCCACCTTGGGGTCATCTAGTCCTGACTCCATGGGGGCTGTGCCCTTGCAGACCTGGATGAGCCAGTGCTGACGGTGCACCAGACAGTGAGCGATGTGCGAGGCAACTTCTATCAGGAGAAGACGGTCTTCCTGCGCTGTACTGTCAACTCCAACCCACCTGCTCGCTTCATCTGGAAGCGGGGCACTGACACCCTGTCCCACAGCCAGGACAATGGCGTTGACATCTATGAGCCCCTCTACACCCAGGTCAGGACGGGCAGCTGGCTCACCGCACATTCTTCCTCCTGTACCTAAAAAGGGAGGGGGGCCTGGGGGCTGAGGCCTTACGATCTGAAGTTCTCTAGTGTGCCCTGACTTTAACAGTTCTGTTCTGATCTTGGAAGCACACATTCTGATTGGAATTCAGATAGCTTGGGGTGGAATAATCAGGGCAGAAAGGTCAGGGAGCAGGGGTGAGGATAGGAAAGTCCCCAGGACAACGTATCTTCCAGGAACGTTGCTTGTTAGGAAAAGCCACCCTCTAGGGGCAGGCAAGTCATCCCTGCCTGCTGCTGGTGGGCAGAGTATTGGGAACCCATGGGCAGGCACAGCAGAAGTTGGTGATGGAGAAATGACTCCTCTTCCCATGGGCCCCCGACAGTCCCAGGAGATGGTGATGATGTCATCTTGCCAGAGAGGGCTTTCAGAGGTGACTGTCAGAACCCCATGCGCAGCCTGTGGGCCAGCCCCAGGAATGTGTAAGTTATAAGACAAAACAGGATGCCCTCCTTACCCCTCCATTCCCCAGGGTGGGGAAACTGAGGCCTGGTCCTGGCCAGTATGCACCAGGGCAACCCCTCAGACCCAGAGAAGTCCATGATGAGGCACTGCTGAGGGTACGGAGAGTGTGGCATCCATCTCAGGTTCAGGACTCCTGGGAGGCCTGAGTCTCCAAATGGTGTGGTTAGGAAGACAGGAATTAGAATAGGATTTTGCTCTAGCCTCTGGTGCTGGGTGAATGAGTGTGTGGGACCCCGGGAGACTCAAGCAGGCCCCTCACCCCTATGGTCCACTGCTGCCCAGGGGGAGACCAAGGTCCTGAAGCTGAAGAACCTGCGGCCCCAGGACTATGCCAGCTACACCTGCCAGGTGTCTGTACGTAACGTGTGCGGCATCCCAGACAAGGCCATCACCTTCCGGCTCACCAACACCACGGGTACAGGCATTTCCCTGTCCATGCCCCTTGCCAGCCAGGGCTAGCTCCCCAAACAGGAGACAGTGCCCCCTCCCACACCGGACTCTAGGCACATCACCTCTAGTGCCCCTCCTCCCCTCTGCCTGCTCCCTGTCTTCTCCCCTTCATCTCCCCCAAGGGCTTCCCTGGCCTCCATGGTTACCCTAGCCACTCATCTCCCCCACACCTAATCCTGCCTCACAGTCACCTAAGACCCCACCTCATTGTCCTCTTAGCACCACCGGCCCTGAAGCTGTCTGTGAACGAAACTCTAGTGGTGAACCCTGGGGAGAATGTGACGGTGCAGTGTCTGCTGACAGGTGGTGATCCCCTACCTCAGCTGCAGTGGTCTCATGGGCCTGGCCCACTGCCCCTGGGAGCTCTGGCCCAGGGTGGCATCCTCAGCATCCCTTCAGTGCAGGCCCGGGACTCTGGCTACTACAACTGCACAGCCATCAACAATGTGGGCAACCCTGCCAAGAAGACCGTCAACCTGCTGGTGCGATGTATGTGGCCTCAGGAGGGGTGGGAGGGAAGTTGTGAGTCAGACAGGGTCCCTGTCTTCTAAGAGCTACCAACAAACTGGGAAAAAGGCCTGTCTGCTTCCTTTTGGTAAAGTGAGGCATGCTGAGGAGGCATGTTCCAAGCACTTGATTTCCCTGCAATTCAGCTGTCTGCCAGCAGATGGCAGAAGGACTAACATTTTTGTAAAGCTTTATTTACAGTTTATAATCTATATTTCCATATACAACCTAACAATCCAAGAAGTAGAAAGAGCTGGAATTGATTGATTACCTCCTTTTTTTTTTTTTTTTTTTGAGTTTGGGAAGCTGAAGCTGCAAAAAGCTAAATGTGCACATTCTGGGTTTCAAGAGAAATTTCCTGGCTTTCTCCCTGTATAACGAGTTCTATATACTGAATATAAGTGAAAATAACACACATTTCCACATATCTTATATGTAAATCTTTATTAGCAAAGGATTTAATGAATCTGAGGATAATTACTAAGTGTAAAAATGATATAAAATTTGGAACACAGTCTAAAGTACACTTTCCTTACTAAACGTCAGCCTCAATAGTTATTATTAGCTGCTCACTATGATCTTGATTTTGCTACTCTGATTTAAGGAAAAAACTTTAAATTGTTTTTGGCTTGTGCAGCTTTAGGGGTTCTTTGTTTTGTTTTGTTTAAGATCCAGGCTTATTTCCAGCTCTTTAGCAATTGAAAATAAAGTACAGCTTCTGCCCAATTCAACTGAGAGTCTCTGATGACACGGGCCCTTTTCTTCACTCATCTCTCACTGGCCAGTCAGTCTCTTTCTGACTCTGCTCACAGAAAGAAACTAGCTTTTTTTTTTTTTTTTGTCTTTTTGTCTTTTTTCGTGACCGGCAACGGATCGCAACCCTCAGTGTCGCGCCCGCACCGGACCGGACCGGCAACGGGATCGCAACCCTCAGTGCTGCGCCCGCCCCTCGCTCAGCCAGTGAGCGGGAACCGGTCTGTATGTGGTATCCGAACCCTCGGCGGGAGCACCGCAGCGCTCCCAAGCGGCGCACTGTAGCAGTGTGCCACTGGGCCGGCCTTAAACTAGCTTTTTATGACTTTTTACTTAATCAGGGCAAGAAAGAAAGAAACAAGATTTTTTTTTTTTCCTTTTTGTCTTTTTTCGTGTCCGGCAATGGATCGCAACCCTCAGTGTCGCGCCCGCACCGGACCGGACCGGCAACGGGATCGCAACCCTCAGTGCTGCGCCCGCCCCTCGCTCAGCCAGTGAGCGGGAACCGGTCTGTATGTGGTATCCGAACCCTCGGCGGGAGCACCGCAGCGCTCCCAAGCGGCGCACTGTAGCAGTGTGCCACTGGGCCGGCCTTAAACTAGCTTTTTATGACTTTTTACTTAATCAGGGCAAGAAAGAAAGAAACAAGATTGTGGCTATCTGATGCCTACTTTTTTCTTCAATGGTACTTTTCCCATCAGAAGATGATTTTTCTCCATATGATTCCATTTGGCCTTTAAAACTTGGGTTGGTAAGATCTTAATTTACATTAAATATTATGATCACCTCTTAGGGTGACTATACAGCCTGCTTTGCCCAGCACAGTCCTGATTTGTGGCTGTTATGTCAATTTCCTGTCCAATTAGCATCCAATCTATTAAGAACTGTGTCTAACTCTTGGCTTACATCAATCAAAATCCACATTTTTTACATAGGCCAGACCCTTTTCTTTCTAAACTCTGTGTTTTTATGTAATTGCATATAAAATTATTGTTTTAGTCTTTTATTATAAAAATTACACAAACAGTACAAAAGGGTAAAATTTGCAAATTAACTTGCTCTTCAGTTCCCCTCAGTTCACTCTCTAGATAGAACCATTATTATATTCTGGTGCATCCTTCCAAATTTGTATTTTGCATATTCAAGGTTTAAAACAACGGTAAAAATAAAGCAGTATAGTAATCAACAGTGCAGGCTCTGAGTTTCAACTCAAAATTTGCTACTTTTTTGGGCAAGTTGCTTAAACTGTCTGAGCCTTAGTTCCTACCTTTGTAAAATGGGGACAATAAAGCACCTCCCTCAAAGACTGTGGAAGGACTAAATGAGGAAATCCGTGTGAAGTGCTTAGAACAGTGCCTCTCACATAGTGTGCGTCCGGTCAACAGTGGCTATAATTATTAGTAAACCCACTTTTCTGCTACGAGCTTTTTTGAACTTTTAAAAGACATCTGAACAAGCAGAACAGTTTCCAAGCAGAGAAAAGTGATGGTTTCTCCTGGTGTGGGGTGGAGGGGGATTGTAGTCCCCAACCTCCAGGTGGGCCAGTTTGAGGGGAGAAGCTGGGTGTGAGTAGGGGTGGGGTATGGACCCCTGGCTTTGGGCCAGTCCAGCCACTCTTCCCTCCTCATTCATCCACAGCCATGAAGAACGCCACGTTCCAGATCACCCCTGACGTGATCAAAGAGAGCGAGAACATACAGCTGGGCCAGGACCTGAAGCTGTCATGCCATGTGGACGCAGTACCCCAGGAGAAGGTTACTTACCAGTGGTTCAAGAATGGCAAGCCAGCACGCATGTCCAAGCGGCTCCTGGTGACCCGCAATGACCCTGAGTTGCCCGCTGTCACCAGCAGCTTAGAGCTCATTGACCTGCACTTCAGCGACTATGGCACCTACCTGTGCATGGCCTCCTTCCCAGGGGCACCCGTGCCCGATCTCAGCGTTGAGGTCAACATCTCCTCTGAGACAGGTGGGCAGCTGGAGGGGCATCAAGGAGATGTGGGGGAGGTGGAGAGGCCCACAGAGGGCAGGTGGGGGCAGCAGCTTGGGAGACGGAGGCCAGAGTTAGGAGGACAGCATTTGTTTATGCCGCACACATTTATTGAGTCAGCATCATATGCTAGGCCCCATGCTAGGCCCTGGGGCAGAGTGGTAGGCAAAACAGGCTCCGCCCTCATTGAACTTGTTTCAGGCAGTCTTATAAATAGACGTATCATTGCAAACTGTGACACATCAGAGTCTGGAAAGAGTTCCCCGAGATAGAATGTTTGAGATCTGAGGAAGGGGCAGGATTTTGCTAGGCAAAGGAGAGCAAGGGAGAGTTGGGGGAAGAGCAGTGCAGGCCAAGGAATCAGCATGTGCCAAGGCACTGAGGCAGGAAAGTGCACCAGCCATTTGGAGAACTGAAGAAGAGCGTGGCTGGGAAATGGAGTGAGATGAGTGGAGAGGCTGGCCAGACCAGGTTATGTAGGGCCCTGCAGGCTGTATTGGTTTGCTCGGGCTACTATAACAGAGTACCACAGACTAGCTGGCTCAGACAACAGAAATTTATTTTCTCACAGTTCTGTAGGCTAGAAGTCTGAGATCAAGGTGTTGGCAGGGTTGATTTCTTCTGAGGGCTCTCTCCTTGGCTTGTAGATGGCCATGTTCTCCCTTTGTCTTCACATGATCTTTCTTTTATGCATGTCTGTGTTCTAATATCTTCCACTTACAAGGACACAAGTCATATTTGATTAAAGCACACCTTAGTGACCTCATTTAACCTTAATTACCTCTTTAAAGGCATTGTACAGTCACATTCTGAGGTACTGGGGGTTAGGACTTCAACATATGAATTGGGGGGGAAACAATTCAGCCCATAATACAGGCCATGGTAAGGATTCAGGTCTTCATTCCAATAATAACAAATAACAATAATGAAATGATAGTGGCTAACATTTATTGAGTGTTTACTATGTGTTCTGATGATTTTATATTTAATCTCATTCGTTTTTGTGATTTACCTTATGGGGTAGTAGTTTATCCTCTCATTTTACAAATGAAGAAACTTAGACTCTGAAAGTTTGAGAAATTTACCTAAGGTAATCCAACAGTAAGTGGTGGAGATGGGATTCAAACCCAGGCAGTCTGACTTCAGAGCCTGCTGTCAACCACCGCTGAGGGGTCTACACCTTGAGAATGACAGGATCTTAGAAGGGATCTTTTGGAGAGGTTCTCGAGTCTCGTCTCTAGCCCCAGCACCTTGGACTGAGAAGCGGGCTGATTTTGGCCAGCTCTCACCACATGACCAGATGTAGAAATGAGGACTGTAATTGTTATGAGTATTTCTTCCTTTGGCCCTTCAACAATCTGGGCCTCAGGTTCTCTTTGTGAGAGGTTAGACCTGGTAGCCTCAGAGTCCCCTCCCATCCTGATATCCTCACAAAGAGAGACCAGGTGAAACTGGAGAGGTCAAGAAAGGCTTCTGGAAGAAGATCAACTTGAGCTGGGCTTTGAGAGTGGATCGGAACTCCACAGATTCCACAAATCCATTTTGTAAACTGCTTTGTGCCACGCCCTGGATGGCACAGGAGGAGCTGTGGATCCAGACAGACACAAATGCCACAGCCCCTTCCTCATAGTTCACTGCTAGCCAAGAGAGAGAGAGATGTTTTGGAGGAAGGGGTAAGGCAGGACATGGAAGGGCAAACCTTGGAAATGTGACATGGAAGGGAAAGGAGGGATCTGTAGAGCACCCTGGGGACACTAGAGGAGGAGTTCCAGGCTGCCTGGGGAAGCAGAGAAGGCTTCTCGGAGGAGGCGTGCTCTATGTGAGCCATAGAGGGTGTGCTGGAATTTGCCAGGTGGGGAAACCAGCCAAGGAAAGGATATAAGAGGCAAAAGAAACAAGGGAGCCCCCCAAAGTATAGGAGATTTGGCATGTCCAGGGAGTGTGCTCCTTACAAGTGGATCCCACAGATGGGACACAGGATGGGAGTGGGGACGTGAAGGTGGGGGTGGCAGAAGCCAGAGCCCAAGGGCCTCATTTGCAGAGCTGAGGAGCTTGAGCTTTAGCCTGAGGGCAGTGTGGCCTCAGAGGGAGAAACAGCTCTTTAGCCTGTTGGGGGTGCAAAAGTGTTGGGAGCTGGGATGTTTTAGAGACAGGGAAGGGACCGAGGGCAGTTGCTTCCATTTGGTTCATAGGCCTGATGCGTAGGGCATAGAAGCTTTTTAAGAGCCCATGGAAACAATTTAGACCTGAAAAAATAAATTAATTGGCTCCAAAATATGAAGAGAAAAGTGAATAATTAAAGCCAATAAATGTATAATGTTTAGAGTATAAATTATGCTAACTAGATAGCTGGACCTCAGCTTGCCCTGCAGAGTTATTTACAAATAATAATTTTATGTTTATATCTAATGTGGGACATGGGTGCATTTTAATTTGTTTGATGTGATATAGATGGGACCCATTTGGGCAATGTGTTGGGTTGGATTAGGTTTGGCTGTGAATAACAGAAGAACCCTAATTCATAGTGTCTTAAACAAGCGTATTTCTTCCTCTTGTAAAAGTCGGCTGGTGGGCAGTTGGGGCTAGGATAGCGGTTCTGCTCCACCAAGTCCTCAGGGCCACAGCCTCCATCTGGCTTGCTGTTCCATCATCCCTAGCATGTGCCACCTTGTCTGTGATGGCAGTTCCAGCTGCAGCTATCAGGAAGGAGGAGAAGAGGAACACAGCCTCTTCTTTTAAAGACTCTTATTTCCCTTCATATCCCACTGGCCAGAATGCAGTCATGTGGCCACAGCTAGCCAGCCACAAGGCAGGCCGGGAGATGTAGACTTTAGGTATTCTATTACTTTAGAAGAAAGGGTAGGGATGTTGGGGAGCAGACTAGTGGTCTTTGATAACACTCCAGGCAAGAGAAGGTGAAGGCTTAACTAGGACAGGGCAGCGGTAAGAGGGAGGGGATTAAGAAAGGAGATACTTAGTAGAAATGTTTAAAAGGTGGAATCCCCAGTACTTAGTGGTGTTGGGGAGAAGGAACAGGCCGGGCTGACTTCAAGTCTTTTTTCGAGTTGGGAGACCAGGAGGTGGAGAGGATTTGGGAAGGTGAGTTCCGCTTTGGGGATACTAAGTGAAACACCCATGAAAAGTCTGGGATGGGGAGTGAGCTTGCACCTACCTAGGGGAAGGGAAGTGGGAGCCCCAGGGCAGAGGCCGGTGGGGAGCTCTAACTCCGCTGCTCCTGCCTCTCTGGCCACCGCCCTCCTGCAGTGCCTCCCACCATCAGCGTGCCCAAGGGCAGGGCCGTGGTGACTGTGCGTGAGGGCTCGCCAGCCGAACTGCAGTGCGAGGTGCGGGGCAAGCCGCGGCCGCCCGTGCTCTGGTCCCGCGTGGACAAGGAAGCTGCACTGCTGCCCTCGGGGCTGCCCCTGGAGGAGACTCCGGACGGGAAGCTGCGGCTGGAGCGCGTGAGCCGCGACATGAGTGGGACCTACCGCTGCCAGACGGCTCGCTATAATGGCTTCAACGTGCGCCCTCGGGAGGCCCAGGTGCAGCTGAACGTGCAGTGTGAGTCCCACCGCCCACCTAGACCACCTTCTGAGCCATCTTTTCCGGTTCCCAGCGTGGCCTGTTCTCTCTTCACCCCCTCACCCACCTCAGTCCAACCAAACCCCTCCATCTATTGGTGACACCCCTAAAACCTCCTTGACATCACCCTGCCCACAGGACACGGAGGTCTGTGTCTCTTGTCCCACTTCCACCATAGTGTCCCCCATCTTCATTTTCAGGGGCCCAGTGAACAAACAATTTGATTTTGACAGGTTGAGATGGGATTTTGAAGGAGGAGGAAGGACCCTCAAGGGGAACACACTGATAACAAAATGATGAAAATTAACTCACCACATGCCAAACACTGTTCTAAGAACTAATTTAACCCTCCACAACCCTATGAAGAGATTCTGTCATTCCCCCCATTTTTACAAATAGGGAAACCGAGGCACAGGGAGGTTAACTAACTTGCCTAAGGTCTCACAGCTAGATAGAGGCAAGGCTGGGATTTGAATCTAACCCATCTAGCTCTAGAGATCGTGCTCTAAACCCCGACGTGCTGCTGCTTTTCATTACATGGGGCGGTGAGGGGCCCACGTAAGGAATGAGCACAGGCCCAGTCTGGGAAGCAGGGCTGGAGGGAATGGCCCGGAGGGAGTGGGAACCTACGAGTTTGGGAGGCGTGAGCATGGCTATTGTATGAATGTGTTGCGAGCGTGTATCCGCCCTGAGACCTTCCAGGCTGGGGGAGTCACGGGAGTAGGGGCGAGTGCATCGCCTCCCCACGGGGCCTCTCCTCAGACCCCACTCGCCACTGACCTCCGCCCCCGCCCCCAGTCCCGCCGGAGGTGGACCCTAGCTCCCAGGACGTGCGCCAGGCGCTGGGCCGGCCAGTGCTCTTGCGCTGCTCGCTGCTGCGAGGCAGCCCCCAACGCATCGCGTCGGCCGTGTGGCGTTTCAAAGGGCAGCTGCTGCCGCCGCCACCTGTTGTCCCCGCCGCCGCTGAGGCCCCCGACCAGGCCGAGCTGCGCCTCGACGCCCTAACCCGCGACAGCAGCGGCAGCTACGAGTGCAGCGTCTCCAACGACGTGGGCTCGGCTGCCTGCCTCTTCCAGGTCTCGGGTGAGCGTCCCGTCGGTCCCAGCCCACCTACCCTGGCGCACTTGGAGCCACGCTGCACCCCAATGCCGGCCCAGCCCTGCGTGGCTGACCCCGCCCCTGTGAAGCCGGCCTGCACCAGGCTTAGACTCTTGCCTCTCCAAGACCCGCCCATGCCAGGTCTAGAGCCCGCCCCGTGCTGCGGGATCCTATCCTTGGTCTCCTCGTAGCCCCGCCCCCAGGCCCGGGCCACGCCCCTCCACCGACGCCCAGTCTAGGTCTCGGCCTTGCCCTTTCAAGGCCCGCCTACACCTGGCCTAGGCCCCGCGCATTATAGCTCAGTTCCCGTCCTTGCCTCTCACAGCCGCACCGTTTTCAAACTTTCACCGGCCTGGGCTTAACCCCTCTAGCCCCACCGGCACCAGGCCTAGGCCCTTCCCTTGAAAGGCCCATCCAGGACCTGGCCGGTTAGCTCAGTTGGTTAGACCGTGGTGCTGATAACACCAGGGTCCAGGGTCAGATCCCACTACCAGCCAGAAAAACAAACAAAAATAAACGCCCATGCGTACCTCGTTTAGGCTCCGCCCACATAAGGCATAGGCTCCACCCCTTACAGCCTCGCCCAATCCCAGCTCTGTGCTTCCAGCGTTCTCTAGCGGCACGGCCCGCTCCAGCTCCGCCCACACCAGATTTCGACCCGTTCGCGCCCGGGGCACCACCCCGTCCTAGCCATCGCGGTTCAAGCCCCTCCTCCTCGGCCCCGGAGGCTGCGGATGGGGAGCCTCCTTGGGGCGAGAACTGTAGTTGAGAGGAGAGAAGACGCCTCTCCGAACGTCGGGGGTGGCGCTGAGCCAGCCTGCACATATTTCCTGAGCTGTCACCCTAGAGATGTAGGCCCTTGGGTGCCCAGAAATCTTTCTCAGCCCCAACTCTTCATCAAGTCCTTCCCGGTTAGGCTGTCTGGGGCTGCAGACAGGCCATGGGTGAGTCAGAAAGGGGTGGAGGTCGCGGTGAGGGTCGAGGGTTTGGATTGCCGACGATCCCTCCTTTTCCCTCCATTTGGGGAGAGCTGTCAGAGCTGGTGGCAGCGCCCCTGGAGGAGAGCGCCAGGTGTGCCTGTCTCCCATTCCACTGCACCCCCAGCTTTCCCAACAGCTCCCAACTGAAGGGATGACCCTTCAGCTCCTGTTCGGATCCTCCCACTCAACAGCAAGGGCTAGAACCACTGGCCCTCTCCCCAGCCCCTCCCCGCCCACCCATCCCTGCCAGCCAGAGGCCCCTGTGACATTTCCCACCTCCTTCCCTTCTCCCCTGTTTTCCCACACTTTCCCCGTCTCCCCACCTTTCTGCCTCTCTCTATCCACCTCCTCTCTCTTCTCTTCCTTTCCTCTCAATATCCCTGACCCTTCTTTCTGTCTTTCCCCCAATTCTGTTTCTCTGTGTCTCCCCTAATATCCCTCCTCCCTGTCTTCCCAAATTTTTCTTTTCTGTCTCTTTCTCAACCTTTCCTCTTTATTCTCACCAATATCACCTCTTGGAATTTCCAATCTCCTTTCTCTGCATTTCCCACTTTTCCTCCTACCTCACCCTCATTCTCCCTAATCCACTGTTCTCCCGACATCTCCTGTCCTCACAACATTCCCTTTCTCTTTGTGCTGTTCCACCCATCCTCTTCTGTTCCTCTCCCACACCTCCTCTCTCTGTGTCTCCCATCCCCCCACCCTCCACGGCCCCATGCCCCCCTCCCCGCCCTCTCAGCCAAAGCCTACAGCCCGGAGTTTTACTTCGACACCCCCAACCCCACCCGCAGCCACAAGCTGTCCAAGAACTACTCCTATGTGCTGCAGTGGACGCAGAGGGAGCCTGACGCTGTCGACCCTGTGCTCAACTACAGACTCAGTGTCCGGCAGGTGGGTCAAGGGGGAGCAGGGGCCTGGGGGCAGGTGGTGAGTGGCTGACCCTGGAAATGCTCATCAAGGCCAGAGGAAGGGGTTGGAGACAGGGGCTCAGACACATTGGCCCTCTTACAGACAACTCTTTAAAGGCAGAGAAAAAGTGTTCTGGACATAGCAGCAGGAGCTGGGAGGCTCTAGGGACCTGTCCCTTCTGGACCCAGACTCTGGTCTTATCCCTGAGGCAGTGGGTCGGGGTCAGCTGGGTTCATGGGGGAGCCAGCACTGCTCACAGAACATAACAATCTACTTTTGGGTTAATAGCTTAACGTGGAGGTTCTCTACAGTGCAAAGCCTGAGTCACTATGCTGTTCTTATACCCAGTCTAATTCCATGTGTGTTTGTCCAGCCCGAGAGGCAGTTGGCATGGAGGGTAAGAGTGCGGCTCTGGGCAGATTGCCTAGGCTAGAATCCAGCTTCGTATGAGCTTGGAAAAGCTAAGGCTCTTTGGCTTGTTTCCTTATCTGTAAAATGGGGATAATTTTAATATTCTACCTCATTGAATTGTTATTTTGAAGAATAAATGAGTTAATAATGGCAAAGCACTTACAATGATGCCCAGTGCACATTAATTGCTGAATACATGTTACTATCACTGTTATCATTAAGACATCCCTGGGAGGTGGGCATGAAAGGGGTGATTGTCCCATCTCACAGATGAGGTCCTGACTTCCTAGTCCTTTGCTCTTTCTGCTCTCCCATGCTGTCCCCCCAACCCCAAATTACACCAGGGCCTGGGCTGGTACTCCAATGGAGGGCATGGCCTGCCAGGCATCTGGGAACTCCCTGTATCTGCAGTTGAATCAACACAACGCCATGGTCAAGGCCATCCCCGTACGGCGTGTGGAGAAGGGGCAGCTGCTGGAGTACATCCTGACTGATCTCCGTGTGCCTCACAGCTATGAGGTCCACCTCACACCCTATACCACCTTCGGGGCTGGTGACATGGCCTCCCGCATCATCTACTACACAGAGCGTAGGTGACGGTGGAGGTGGTGGTGGGAAGGGTGGACCCATCTCATGCTCAGGGACTCGCTCCATAATCCTGACGCTGTTCCCAAGCCTGGGACTCCCCACTGTATACTCTACTACCCTGTCACTGCAGGCCAGGCTCACTGGCTTCCAGTCCTGGCTCTGAGGACCTTGTCCTGTGGTCCCAAGCCTGGGCACAGTCGACAGAGCCCCACACCTCAGTTCTGACTTGGTTTCCCTGCTTGCTTTCTCAGCCATCAACTCTCCAAACCTGTCAGGTAAGACACCACCTCCCCCACCACCCCAACTTCCCCTTTCCTTTAGGGATACAAAGGCTCTCCTGGTGGGAGGAAGGGACCTCAAGAGATACCCAGAGAGAAAATAACTTCTCCCTGAGTTTCCATGGGGCAGGGGCCAGCAGCCAGAAGGAAAAGCAGGATTGGGCTGGAGATATTTGGATCCAGGATTTGTTTTGGGGCTTGAAAGCTAGGCCGGTGGGACGGGGGCCCACTGTCCCTAAAAGAAAAAAAAGGAGAGGCCAGGCTAGTCCACACCCCCCCACCCGTTCCCTGAGACAGGGGTCCTTAATCTGTGATCCATGGATCCAGGGATCTGTGTATAGAATGCGGGGGTCTATGAACCTGGAAGGGCATACAATTATTTCTTTATTTTTCCTAACTTCTAGCAGACAGTACTATCCCCTTCAATGATGAATATAGGCAACAAACTACAGTACCTGTGACTTTGTCATCAGCTGAAATCCGATGTTTTCACATCACCTTACAGCAGATATCTCTAAATATCGTTTACATTCATTGGTATCTCAAAACTACAGTGGTTATTAGACCTAACACTAGATCTTGTGATTTAATTAGACAATAAGAAGCCCATATATTATTATATAACAAATTTAAAACTATTTTGACAACTGTATCTCAATATAATTGGTTTCCTTTGCAATTCTTGCATTTCATTTTACATGTCTAAAATCATTATTCTGAGATGGGGTCCTTAGGCTTCACTAGATGCCAGAAATGTCTGTGGTCCAAAAAAGGCTAAGAAGTCTTGTTTGGGGAAGATATTTGTGTGGGCCCCATTGCCTGGTCTCTCAAGCCCTGGAATCCTGGGCCCATTGATTAGATGCTTGGGAGCTGCCTCGGGGTGGTGAGGAGGCGAGGCTGCACCAGAGGGGTGAGGAGGCTGACCCGCTTGGTCTCTCCCTCCCACAACCCATTCATGCAGATAACACCTGTCACTTTGAGGATGAGAAGATCTGTGGCTACACCCAGGACCTGACAGACAACTTTGACTGGACACGGCAAAACGCCCTCACCCAGAACCCCAAGCGCTCCCCCAACACTGGTCCCCCCACCGACATCAGTGGCTCCCCTGAGGGTGAGGACATAGACATCTGCAAGAAATGGAGGACTGATTCCGGGAGGGGGCTACGCCCAGGTGCCCCAGTCGGGGGGTAGAAGAAGACACAGCCCTGTCCTCAGGGAGCCCCAGTCTGAGGGGAGACACAGCCCTGTCCTCAGGGAGGCCCAGTCTGAGGGAGACACAGCCCCGTCCTCAGGGAGCCCCAGTCTGAGGAGGAGACACAGCCCTGTCCTCAGGGAGCCCCAGTCTGAGAGAGACACAGCCCTGTCCTCAGGGAGCCCCAGTCTGAGAGAGACACAGCCCTGTCCTCAGGGAGCCCCAGTCTGAGAGAGACACAGCCCTGTCCTCAGGGAGCCCCAGTCTGAGAGAGACACAGCCCTGTCCTCAGGGAGCCCCAGTCTGAGAGAGACACAGCCCTGTCCTCAGGGAGCCCCAGTCTGAGAGAGACACAGCCCTGTCCTCAGGGAGCCCCAGTCTGAGAGAGACACAGCCCTGTCCTCAGGGAGCCCCAGTCTGAGAGAGACACAGCCCTGTCCTCAGGGAGCCCCAGTCTGAGAGAGACACAGCCCTGTCCTCAGGGAGCCCCAGTCTGAGAGAGACACAGCCCTGTCCTCAGGGAGCCCCAGTCTGAGGGGAGACACAGCCCCGTCCTCAGGGAGGCCCAGTCTGAGGGAGACACAGCCCCGTCCTCAGGGAGCCCCAGTCTGAGGAGGAGACATAGCCCTGTCCCCAGGGAGCCCCAGTCTGAGGGGAGACACAGCCTCGTCCTCAGGGAGCCCCAGTCTGAGGAGGAGACACAGCCCTGTCCTCAGGGAGCCCCAGTCTGAGGAGGAGACACAGCCCTGTCCTCAGGGAGCCCCAGTCTGAGGGAGACACAGCCCCGTCCTCAGGGAGGCCCAGTCTGAGGGAGACACAGCCCTGTCCTCAGGGATCCCCAGTCTGAGGGAGACACAGCCCTGTCCTCAGGGAGCCCCAGTCTGAGGGGAGACACAGCCCTGTCCTCAGGGAGGCCCAGCCTGAGGGGGAGACACAGCCCCGTCCTCAGGGAGCCCCACTCTGAGGGGGAGACACAGCCCCGTCCTCAGGGAGCCCCACTCTGAGGGGGAGACACAAGTCTGAGGGGAGACACAGCCCTGTCCTCAGGGAGCCCCAGTCTGAGGGGAGACACAGCCCTGTCTTCAGGGAGCCCCAGTCTGAGGGAGACACAGCCCTGTCCTCAGAGAGGATCAGGAAAAGAGAAACTTCAGTAGAGCTGAGAACTCACGAGGCTCATCTGACCGCTGTCTGTGCTGTAGGCGGGAGGATGGGGTGGGTTCAGAGGGAACCAAGTGGAAAGAGGCGCGGGTGGGGTGAGGAGGAGTCTGTTGCGCCTCTCCCCTCCCCCACAGGCTACTACATGTTCATTGAGACATCAAGGCCCCGGGAGCTGGGGGACCGTGCGAGGTTGGTGAGTCCCCTCTACAATGCCAGCGCCAAGTTCTACTGTGTCTCCTTCTTCTACCACATGTACGGGAAGCACATCGGTGAGTCAGTGACCAGGTAGTCTGACCACGTGTGTGCTGGGGTGGGAGTCAACAGGAGGCCCAGGACCAGCCCACATGTGGCCTGAGCTTCTCAGCTTGGCTAAATCACAAGTCCATGGAGGGAGTATAGACAGAAGATTGGCGAGGGAAGTCAAAAGCCAGCTTGTCTGCGATTTTGATTTTTGTTTGTTCGTTTTTGATGAATGGCCAGTATGGGGATCCGAACTCTTGACCTTGGTGTGTCTGAGGTTTTGAGATGGTCAAGGCTCCCTGAATCTGCAAATAAAAAGACTCTAGCAGGATGAGATGGAAGTCATAGAGGTTTTGGGGAAAACAACTAAGAGGTTGCAAATATTGAGTGCCTTCCAGGTGCCAGGTGATGTCCTGGGGGCTGTGCATCCCTGATCTCGTTAACTCTCACAACCACCAGGTGAGGGAAATGTTACCAATAATTCAGAGAGGTTAAGCTTTTGTCCACAACCACACAGCGACCCAGATCTGCCTGACTTCCCCAAGTCCTAAACAAGAGATTGGAAGGGTGCTGTTTTGCAAGTGGCGAGAGGAAGGCCTGCTTCCTAAGTGTGGGAGTGAACTTAAGGACTGCCCTTTGGGAAGAGATGGCACTGGCAGGAGTGTCACAATCAGTGAACTCATCAGTTGAGCTATTACTTCTGGAGCTCCTGCTCTGTGCCAGGTATCAGGTGCTGCAGTGAACGAGAAGGATGAGTTTCCTGTCGTCTTGGCACCTACAGTCTAACAACTAGTGGCACCAGATAAGAGTTAGTGATCACAGGGCCTAAGACAGCTGGTAACAGGGAGGCCTGACCAACTCTGGGGACATAGTTGTGGAAGATCCTGCTGAGGAATTTAAATTTTGTTTGTTGTTTAGTTATTTATGGGAAGGGTAATATACTTCACATGGGTCAAAAGGTACAAAAGGGGGCATGGTGAAACTCCCCCTCCCATCGCAGTTCTGCCACCTAGCACCCCTCCCAGAGACGATCAATCGACTAGACTTTGGGGCAAATTTCCACAGATACTTCATGCATGTGGAAGCCCATACACACATATGCATGCACACACGTACATGTGCACACACACTCTGCTCCCCCCACTTTACACACACTCTTCTATGCTTGCTTTTTCCCTCTGAACCATACATCATTCCTTATCAGTCCACAGAAAGCTTCTTCATTGTTTTCCTCGACTGCACGGTAGAGGCAGTGACTCTAAGCAAGTGTAGACCCAAAGGCTCATCATGGAGAAGCCTCCACAACTAGAGGGATGTCTGTCTTGGGAGATGGTGAGCATCCTGTCCCTGGACAGGAAGACTATCCAGCAGGGATGCTGTGGAGGGGACCCCTGTCCCAGACCATATTACTCCACTGCTCCATCCCCTTGAAGGTGACCATCCCATCACCATCTTCTCCAGGCCTTCCGTTCTTAATCCAGCCCCTGTCTGCTTCTCTGATCTCTGCTGCCACTGTCCTCTGGCTCCTCCTCAGCACTAGCACACCAGTCTCCTGGCTTTTTATTAATTGCCTGAGGCCAGTTCCTGCCTTACAGGCCTTTGCTCGTGATGTTCCCCTAGCCTGGAACATTCTTCCCTCCCTTCACTCAGGTTTCCTCAGAGAGCTCCCAGACCGTCCCGTCTGAAATAGCTCTCTATCCATTTCCCTGCGTTATTTTCTTTACAATGCTTACCACCAAGAGCAGGGAAGTGCACAAGCACAGGGGTTTTTCTCTTGTTCACCAGTGTCTCCCTAGTGCCTAGAACATTACCCGGTATATGGGTGCTCAGTTAGTTGAATGAATGAATGATAGGGGTGTCTGGGCTTGATGAACCCTGAGATAATTTCCAACCCTGAGATTCTAGAAAAGTTCTTGATAACAGTCATGGAAAGTTCTTCATTCAGCGTTTAATTATTGAGAACTGGTAGGGATTTGACACAAATCTTTCCACAAAGAGTCAAACGGGGAGAAGACGTGAATAACAATGACTGCCACACCACAGAGCAGAGAGCTGGGCACGGGGAGCTGCAGTTTAAGGACTCAGTTCACAGGAATGTTAGGGGGCTCCCAGCGCAAGCCTAGGAAGACTTCCTGGAGGAGGTGGCATTTCAGAAACACCTTGGAGAAGGGGAAGGATTTGGCTAGGGAAACAGGGGAGGGCATCTCAAGCAGAGGGAACAGTTGAGCACAAGCCCAGAGGCTGGAAAGCTGGAGCATACCCAGGCATAAGCGTGTGGTTCCGTGTGGCTTCAGAGGTGGCAGGGAAGATGTGGAGGAGCATCGTGAGCAGGCCCACTCTCCACGGAGGCTGAGGATCTTAGGCCCTGGCTGGCCCCTATGAAGGGATGTCAAAAAGCTCCTGAGTGGGGAGAACCTGGGAGCTGATGGGGTGCTCAGCGAAGGTGGCAGAAATTTGGTTTTTGTTTGAGCAGTGAGAAAGCAGTCTTCTCCATCAGGGTCCTTGGGAAAGGGTAGTGGAGAAGGAAGAAAAGGTATGGAGATTGAGGCTGGACTCTGGAGAGATGGGGACAGGGTTGGATCTCTGGGAGGGGGAAGAGTGAGCAGTCCCATTGGGGATGGTGAGGACCCGAAACAAATCCGGGGTGGGTGCTTCCTGTTCTACTGGGTGCCGGTTGCAGCCCTCTTACGGGCCCCTCTCCTGCTGGTGAGGGCACCCCCCATACCCTGAACCTTTGCTGTGCTTCTCACTCAGCGTCTCTGCTCCGGGGCAGGGGGTGTTTCTTGCTGTTCTGGTCCTTCCTCTCCCCTTCCCTCCCACCCTGCCTGGGAGCTCTGGGCACCAACCATCCCCAGACCTGTGTCTCACTGACCCTCCTTTGCCCACGCCAACTCCTTTCATCCCAGGCAGGTAGCATCTGGTGGCTCTCCCCCACTGGGGGGGAGGGGGATCTGTCTGTCTGGTGTTGCAGATGGTGTGGCTTTGTCTGAGGACAGTGCCATGGAAATGCCAGCCACCAGGCACCGTCTAAGATTGATTCCCCTCCCCTCCGAGCCAGGTCTTTCATGTCACTGGGGACTTCAGGTGGGATGGAAGAGACGGGGAGGGAGCATTGCCATTTCCTGGGTGCTATTAGCCACGTTGTGACCCCCTCCTCCTCTTCTAGTGCCCCTCAGCACCCCCAGAGTTCCAGGTCCCTGTGGCTATGGGGAGATGGGCTCAGCACCCCCAGGTTAATGCCTCCAAAATCTCGCTCTCATTGTTTTTACTACAGCTGTGTAGCACATACTAATATCTTTCAATTCAACTTCTTTCTGTTTAGCTTTGTCCTGAGCATCAGTATCAGAGAAATCCTGGGTTTGAAGGGCTAGTTTTATGCACCACATAAAAACACAAATAAGTATTTAAAAATTTAGAGTCCCTTCTTCTACCTCCAGAAATCATGTACTGCCAGGGGTGTGCATTGTGCTCTTTGGGAATCCTGCTCTGTGCTCAGACATAGGTCCTACTGCCCTGGGACAGCTCCCTGTCTAGAGGGGAAAGCGGAAGGTGGTGTGTGTGTGTGTGTGTGTGTGTGTGTGTGTGTGTAGGGGTGGGAAGATTAGCTGATTAGCAGGGAAGGAATGAAATGGAAAAAAATTTGCAAGTTGTCCCGATGAACTGAAATCCTGGTGCTGTCTTCCTTCCCACAATGAGGTCCACCTGTGCTAATGGGATGTTGAACCAGTCTGGGGATGGGGAGAAGGTTCCATCCAACTGTGGGCAGTGGCGGGAGAGGAGGGCTTGGTAAAGGGGCCTTGCCAGACCTCACTGCCTGCTCTTTTCACACCCACCACAGGATCTCTCAACCTCCTAGTGCGGTCCCGGAACAAAGGGGCTCTGGACACGCACGCCTGGTCCCTCAGTGGCAATAAGGGCAATGTGTGGCAGCAGGCCCATGTGCCCATTAACCCCAGTGGGCCCTTCCAGGTGAGTCCTCACAGCCCAGAGGCAGGGTATGGGGGCCTTCCAGTAGATTGAGGGGAAAGGGTGGGGGTGGGGGTCTCTGGTGCCCAGAAGACTCTCCCCAACCCCTACTCCCTGCTCTGTGACTCCACCCCAGATTATTTTTGAGGGGGTTCGAGGTTCGGGCTACTTGGGGGATATTGCCATAGACGACGTCACACTGAAGAAGGGAGAGTGTCCTCGGAAGCAGATGGATCCCAATAAAGGTGCACGATTGGGAGAGGGTGGGGAAGTGGAGCCTGTGGGGGGCTGTGTGGGTGGGCATCTGTCTGTCGGGGGAGGGTGTTTGTGTCTGAATGGGGGTTCAGAATGCCTGAGTGATGGGAATCATGTGTCTGTGACTGTGGACATGGGCCCCCACCGTGACTCAGGCTATGGGGCATAGGGAGGACAGTGAGAAGCCCAGGCCCCGCCCTCCTTGTGAGCTTACTGAGTCATTTACAGTAGCAGAGTGCCGCCTGTGCCTGTGTCTGAGTACGTCTCTGTACCTGTGGCTCCAGATGTGAACGTGTGCCTTCCGGGGGCCAGATGTTTCCAATACTAACAGCTCCAGTTTACTGAGCCATTACTATGTACCAGGCAAGGTACAAAAACTTGCATATGCATGTTTCACTTAATCCTCACAACAGTCCTCTGGGGTTGTTCATATTATTAGACCCATTTTACAGATGAGGAAACTGAGGCCCACTGACATTGAGTAAATTGCCCTATGTCTTAGTGAGCCTGAACCCCAGCAGGCTGAGTTAACCCCCACACCACATCACCTCATGTCTGTGCTTATGAATGTGTCTTTGTGCATTGAGGGCAGTGCCACTTTCAGGCCCCCACAGAGAGGTGGGCAGAGAAATGGGGCTCTCCCATGGCCAGCCTGCCTACCACTCCCTGCCCCTGCCAGAGCTGACTGGAGCCCTGGCCTGTCTCCTCTCTCTCTCTCATCGCAGTGGTGGTGATGCCGGGAAGTGGAGCCCCCCACCAGTCCAGCCCACAGGTCTGGGGGCCCATGGCCATCTTCCTCTTGGCGTTGCAGAGATGATGAGAGCTGCGTGGCCCCCCCACCCCGCCCCGGCACACCAAAGTGTCCACATCGTACCAAAGACTGACCCCCGCCAGCCGGGGTGCCCAGGGGCAGAGCCAGCCCGCCAGGGAGGGGGCCTGCAGTGGCTGCGGGATGAGCAGAAAACAAGGACAGAGGCCCAGCACCGAGGCCCTGAAGATGATTATTTGACACACGCACACACGCACGCACACACTCACACACACAGAAATATATTAAAGCACAAGTTTCTATCCGTCCTGCCAGCACCTTCTTTACTGCGGAGACAGGGGACTTTCCTGAACGGTGTCTGCCACCCCAGGGACATTGGTGCAACATAGGCCTTGTCCTGGCTGCACTTGTGGTGTGTTTCTGACCTTCCCCTGTCCCCTAACTCAAGGTCAAACTCCAGCCCAGTGGCTTTGCCAGAAGGGAGCCAGAAGTGGGGCAGACATGGAAGCCCCTCCCTTGGTTGGACTCTGGGACTCCCTGGGATGGGGAGGCAGAGATCAGAGGAGGGTCAGGTGAGACTTTGTGAGCTCTGTGACTGTGCCCCATCAAGGAAGGTGGGGCACTTGCTGTTCCCAGAGTAAGGGCTGGATGGTAGAGACCCCAGGTTACCTCAGATGCCCTGACCTGTTTCTGGGACATTATATTCTCCTCCTCACTGTACCCCCTTTAAAGGGACCCAGCACAGGGTCTTGGGCCTGGGCAGTCTGAAGACTGACATCTTCCTCACCCATCCCATCCCCATCCTACCCCCATAAGCAGCTGGACTCCTGAGAACACAGTCCCCACCCTAACCTCAGCTCCCAGCTGGGTCTCAGAGGAGCTGGGAGAGTGGTGGCCAGGCCACTTTTTGGGGTGAGGCTTGATGTTCAGAGGGGCAGAGGAAAAGTCCCACTCTCTGATTTTGTGCCCCCATACAGGACATTGAATTTGGGAGTGGAGTGGAGCCTCTGTTTCTTATACACTTGGCATGAAAGGGTACACTGGGTAGGAGGGAGTGTGTACAGGGCAAAGCACTGTCTGGTTGCCTGTTCCCTTCTCCTCCAGGGGCAGTGAAAGAGGAAGGGTTTGTAGAGCTAGGGTTGGTGGATGCAGGCATTTGCCGGCCTCCTGGTTCCCTGGTCCCCTGTGAGCTGAGCCTCAAGCCCTGAGCTGTGAAAGGGCTCTCTGGCCTTGGGTCCTGGGCTGGGAGCCTGAGATGTGATGGAATCTAGATTTCTCTTCCTCAACATCCTCCCCAACCCCGATATCCCCACCCAGCCATCCATGGGAGAAAGGAGGCCCCACCCCATCTGGGATGAGTATGTGTGCATGTGTGCATGTGGCCGTGTGTGTGTGCACGTGCATGTGTGTGCATGTGTGTGTACCCATCTGTGTCTATGTACCACTGTGAGTACATTTCCAGGCAGGAGTGTATGCAAATATAGGTCAGTGTGTGCAATTACACACATTTGTGAGGCTGGGTCTATCCCCCATCTCTGTGAATGCCTGTGTATGTCAGAGTGCATGTCCATCTTCATGAGTAGCATGTGTGTTTGTGGGGTGCTGGCCAAACAGACCACTTCCAGCTCTGTTCTGCAGTCTCAAGCTGCCTGCCACAGCCTGAAATTTCACCTTTCATCCCCTGTGGGTGAAAAGAGCTTACAGATGACCTTATAGAATGTAGGCTCCTTTGGTGGAGGGTGTCACAGGGATCCTCCTGGAGCATTTGGTGGGAACAGCTGCAGAGAAGAGCCTGGAACTCAGGCAGCACTGCAGCGCCAAGAGGCAGGCAGGAAACCAAGGCAAACGCTGCCCATCTCCCTGCTCTGCCAGGCTTGTGTTATCATCATCACCAACAGCTGGTGGGTGGCCGGGCCAGGCTGCAGTGGGGCCTCCTGATACCCGACAGCATGGCTGCCTTCCTGGCCCAGCCAAGGCCTCTGTCCAAAATGAGTTGCTCCAGGTTCCCAGCACACAATTCCATTGCGTCTGCTGGGTATTGTTCCTTAATTGTCCCATCTGTGCAGAGTCTGTTGCCCCAACTAGACTGTGAGCTCCTCCTCTGAGCCTTCCAACCCCTCTCCCCTGCCTCCCATTCATGCCCAGCACAAGCAAGCCTGGTATGGAAACCACTCCCCGGGCTTTGCCCAGGGGAATGGATTCTATAAATCAGTGGTCCCCAGCCTGGCTGCAGAACAGAACCACCAGAGGCTTTTTAAAAAAGCACTGATGCCTGGGTCCCACCCCAGCGGTTCTGATTTACTTGGGCTGGAGTGCAGGCTGCTATCAGAAGTATTGAAAAGCTCCTCAGGAAAACCGAGAGTGGGAACCACTGGCCTGTCACCTGCCAGGTGCTTCCTCTGTGCCCTTCCTGGGGTAGGTGCTGGAACACCAGAGATGAATGGCCCCAAGTGCCTCCTCCCTGGGGCTCCCATGGTGCCCTATGCCTACTTCCCTTGGTTGACCTTCGAAAACATCTGTCCCCCGCTCTGGCTCCATGATAGGGACTGTCTCCCTTGTTCACCTCTGTCTGCAGGGCCTGACACAGAAAAGGTACTCAGTGCATGTTGGCTGAGCTGAACTGCACATGCATGGCCCCTGAGCTCCTGGTCTGTTTGGAGAGAGGAGCCATGGTCACGTGGACAGAGGGGGCAAGGTGGGGGCGTGGCAGGGGTTGCTGCTTGAGGTCTCAGTGGGCCAAGGCAAATCATATCTGCCAAGATGCCAAGGTCCTTGTGTGTGAGCAGATGAGGTTGATGTGTGTACGTCTGTGGCTGCCAGTGGTTCTGCAGGGAATGTGAGTATCCGTGTGTGCTAGTGGGCACTGCAAATGCCTTGGCATGTGCCAGTCTGTGTGTGTTTGTGTGCGTGTCAGTCAGTCTGCAAGGAATGTGTCTTTGTGTGTCCCTGGGTGACCTGTGTCTGTGTGTCAGTGTTTGTTGTGTCTGTGTGTGCCTGAGTCAGTATCTCTGTACCAGTGTTGCTTATGCCTTGTGTGTCTGTGCTGGTGGGTGGCCCATAAATACCTCCAGCCCAGGGAGACCAGCTGGCTGGGTCCAGTGCATCTCCCAGTGACAGCCTCAGCCTCTGCCTCCAGGTCAAGGTAACTGAGGCATCTTGTGGCCTTAAAATGGGAAGTTCAGGGTCAGCCCTCAGGGTGTTGGGATTCTTCCACCCCTCTCCCCTCCAGGTTGGTGTCTTGGGGGAAAAGGGAGTCCTGGGGCCAGATGCTGTATATAGCAGCTGATGCGGAGTCTCAGCTTTGGCTGTCCTGCCCCTAGAACCACAGAGAGCTTCCCAGGGATGCTGAGTTGGTGTCCAAAGACCAAGAGTCCCCTCCTCCTGGAACGTTCCTCCTACCTTTGATCTCTCTGGGATGGGCCTGACACCTCTTTCCCATTCAGTCTTCTTTTCCCTGTGCTCTGAAAGACCCTGGCTCAGGCTGTCAGAGCCAGATGGGCCTCAGAAGTCTAAACCCCTCAAGGTGCAAACAAAGAAGCTGAAGTCCAGAGTGGGGAAGGGACCGGCCCAAGGTCACATAGCCACTTGGGGTAGAGTCAGCCTTGGAAGCCAAACTACAGCACTAGTGGTGTCACACCACTGGCTACTGGCCCTGGGGTCTCCTGCCAGACAGCTACAGGGAGCTTGGTCAAACTGTCCTGCATCCAGGATGCTTGTGGAGAAGTTATGGATGTTACTGGGCTCCTGCACTGGGAGAGGCGATGTCTCCCTGCCCCAAATCCTGGCCTCTCATCCCAGATCACAGAACCTCCCGCCCCATGGCAAGCCTGGGTGCCACACACAGGCTGCCACCCTCTGCCCACGCTGGCTGTAGCAGCTGCACCTCCTCCAGGTTCCCAGATAGAAGAGACACTGTTTCCCCTTCCCTCCCCTCTGTCTTCACAAGAGGCTGGGCTAAGAATGAAGGCTAGCATGTCCTCATGTCCTCATCCTGTTGGCTTCCCCTAAGGACAAGGAGGCTTGGGGGTGGGGGTGCAGAATCCTTGTGTTTTCCTCTCTCTGGACAGCTCAGGGGGGCTGGGTGGGTATTTCCAGGGTCTGTCCCCAGGAATGGGAAGTGTGAACCTGCCCTGGGGAGTCCCTGTATGGCCACTGGTTGATGTTGGGTTCTGGGTTCAGGGAAGCCCCCTCCTCTCTGTTGAGTCAGTGCTGTATGTGTGTGCCTGAGGCGTGTGGTGTATGCATGTGCCTGTGTGTATGTTGGGGCAGAAGAACCACTCTTTCCTGAGGATCCCTTTACCTTTAGAGCTGAAAAGGACCTTAGACATTATCTAATCCAGTGTCCCCTTGTACAGGTGAGGAAGCCTAGGTCCAGAAAGATGGCATTTGCCCACCCCTCTCCCTCACGTCGCCTGCATTCATTTCCCAGGGACCCTACTAGAAACGCCCTCCCTCCTTGCACCTTCCCACCTTCCTCCCAGCTACCCACAAAATCACCATCTCAGCCCTGCTCCCTGCCCCCTCTACCCCAGTGGTCTCCAAGCATCCTTCCTGCCCTAGGATGGCCAGCTCACCGAGGCCTCTATCCCCAACCCAGGAGAAGGGGACAGGGGAGGAGGGGACTGCTCCAGCCCTGAGGCCTCAAAGACTTGGGAGAAAAGCCAGAACCCCTCATCCCAGGCCCACATGTCTGACCACCCCGGCCCACCCACCACCAAGGTAAAAGCACAACAGGAGACCCCTTATTAACGGGTGAAATGTATTGGGGTTGTTTTTTGAGTCACACAACCCTGCCATCACCCCCTTGCCTTGCTCTCTGTCTCCACCCCAGCCTCTGTTCCCCATTTGCCCCTCCCTCACCCCAAACCCTCAAATGTAACCTCTAGTTGCGGACGCGATTGTTTCAATCAATAAAGCTGCAGTGTTCTAGCGCTCAGAGTCAAGCTGTGTGTGTCGGCCCAGCAGCTGCGAGAAGCCTGGGGTGGGGGGAGATCCCAGGGGGTTCTCTCAGCTCCCTGGGGCAGCCTTTCTTCTCTTTGGCACCTGTCATCATGGATTTTGCTCTGTGGCCTGAACAGTGGGACCTGCGTCCTAGTCTGCTCCCCAGTGAATTCGGTGTCCTCATTCATTTGTTCATTCAACAAATACCAACAATACTGCCTTTGTGGAAGCTCCTGCTTAGTGGGGGAGACGGTCATTAAGCTAATAATTGCACCAAGAAATATGTAATTATGAACACAATGAAGGCTGTGTAGGAAAATTGGTGCTGTGAAAGAAGGTAAGAAGAGGGTCCTTCTTTGGGTTGG